GCAGTCAGTGACCATGAAAAAAGAGGTCTCTCAAAAACAGTAAAGGATCATGAGAAATCAATCCAACAACTTCTAGACGATGCAAAGAAAAATAACATAAGACTGATAGGAATTCAAGAAAAAGCAGGAGAAAACGCAAATGACCTAAAAAAGTTCTTCACAGAATTAATGACAGAAAACTTCCCAAACAGAAGGGAAGAATTAGACATACAGATAAGTGAGGCATATAGAACTCCAACTAGCCATGATCAAAAAAAAATCTATACCTAGACATATAATAATCAAGATCCCAGAAATCCAACAGAAAAACAAAATACTACAAGCAGTAAGAGAAAAGAAACAAATCACATGCAAAGGAAAGCCCATTAGAATCACAGCAGACTTTTCAACACAAACCCTTAGGTCAAGGAGAGCCTGGAGTGAGGTATTCCAAGTCCTAAAAGAAAAGAACCTCCAACCTAGACTGATGTATCCAGCAAAACTCTCTTTCAAAATAGATGGGGAAATAAGATACTTCCACGACAAAGAGCACCTGAGAAATTTCATGAACACCAAACCAGCACTGCAAGGAATTCTAAACAATATTCTAGAAAAGGACAATGAAGTTCACAATAACATGAGGCCCAACACAACAAATCAAATAGGCAAGGCAAGAAACTAAAAGGAGACGGGAGAAAAAGTAAAAAGAATCAACAAAAGGACAGTAACATGACAAGAATAAGTCAGAATATATCAGTTATAACCATCAATGTTAATGGCCTCAATTCACCAATCAAGAGAAACAGATTGGCAGAATGGATTAAGAAGCAAAATCCAACAATATGTTATATATAAGATACACACCTAGTGCAAAAGGAAGCCCACAGACTGAAAGTGAAAGGATGGAAAACAATTCTCCATGCATCAGGAGCCCAGAAAAAAAATCAGGGGTAGCAATCTTATTCTCCGTTAAAGTAAATTTCAAACCAAAACTCATTAAGAGAGACAAAGAAGGACACTACATCCTTGTAAAGGGAACAATTCAAGAGGAAGAGTTGACAATCATAAACATATATGCACCCCAAATAAATGCCCCCAACTATATAAAACAAATATTAAGTAACATGAAAAACCAAATAAGCACTAATACAATTGTAGTGGGGGATTTAAATACCCCACTATCACAAATTGACAGATCATCTAGGCAGAAAATCAACAATGAAATAATAGAACTGAACCAAGCTTTGGAACACATGGACTTAATAGATGTTTATAGAGTATTCCACCCCAAAAAATCAGAATATACATTCTTTTCAGCTGCACATAGATCATTCTCCAAGATAGACCACATACTGGCTCACAGAACAGGTCTAAATAAATGCAAAAAAATTGAAGTCATCCCCTGTATATTATCAGATCATAGTGCAATCAAACTGGAGATCAATAGCACAAGAAACTATAGAAACTTCACAAGCACATGGAAACTGAACAACACTCTCCTAAACAATCAATGGATTACAGAGGAAATTAAAGAAGAAATTAGACAGTTTTTACAAATAAATGAGAATGCCAATACAACATACAGGAATCTTTGGGACACAATGAAAGCAGTTCTACGTGGAAAATTCATAACATTGAATGCCCACACTAGGAAAACAGAGCGGGCTCAAATAAACAACTTAACGATGAAACTTAGACTCCTAGAAAAACAAGAGCAAGAAAAACCCAAAGCTCGAACAAGAGAGGAAATTATAAAGATCCGAGCAGAAATCAATGCAATTGAAATTAAGAAAACGATACAAAAAATAAATGAAACAAAGAGCTGGTTTTTTGAAAGAATAAATAAAATTGACAAACCCTTAGCTAATCTTATCAAAAAAAGGAAAGAAAAGGCTCAGATCCATGCAATTAGGAATGAAAAAGGCGAAGTCACAACAGATCCGAAAGAAATCCAGAGGATCATGAACACCTACTTTGAGAACCTGTACTCTAATAAAATGGAAAACACAGAAGAAATGGACAGATTTCTAGATACTTATGAATTACCAAAGTTGAACGAAGAAGATAAAAACATTTTAAACACCCCAATCACAATCAGTGAAATTGAAAATGTAATTAAAAACTTACCAACAAAGAAAAGCCCAGGCCCTGATGGATTCACTGCTGAATTTTACAAGACATTTAGAGAAGAACTACTACCATTACTCTTCAAACTTTTCAATGAAATTGAAAGAGAAGCTATACTTCCAAATTCATTCCTGGAAGCAAGTATCACTCTGATTCCCAAACCAGAGAAAGATACAACCAAAAAGGAGAACTACAGACCAATCTCCTTAATGAATATAGATGCAAAAATCCTTAATAAGATACTAGCAAACAGAATACAGAGGATTATTAAGAAGATCATCCATCATGACCAAGTCGGATTTATTCCAGAGATGCAAGGGTGGTTCAACATACGAAAGTCAGTGAATGTAATACATTATATTAACAAAGTCAAGGACAAAAACCATATGATCCTCTCAATAGATGCAGAAAAAGCATTTGATAAAATTCAACACCCATTCATGATAAAAACCCTGCAAAAAATTGGAATAGATGGTCTATACCTCAATTTAATAAAGGCTATTTATGAAAAACCATCAGCCAACATCATATTGAATGGCCAAAAACTGAAAACCTTCATGTTAAAATCAGGAACAAGACAAGGATGCCCACTATCGCCACTTCTCTTCAATATAGTTCTGGAAACATTAGCCACAGCAATTAGACAAGAGAAAGAAATTAAAGCAATAAAGATAGGAAAGGAAGAAGTTAAACTATCATTATTTGCTGATGATATGATACTCTACATTGAAGATCCAAAAAACTCCATCAAAAAACTTCTAGACTTGACAGATTCAGTAGAGTATCTGGATACAAGGTGAATACCCAAAAATCAATAGCCTTCTTATACACGAATAACAGACTCACAGACAGAGAAATAAGGGAACAAATTCCTTTTACAATAGCATCCAAAAAATGAAGTATCTAGGAATCAATCTAACAAAAGAAGCCAAAAGATCTCTACACTGAAAACTACAGCACTCTGAAAAAAGAAATCGAAGAGGATATAAAAAAATGGAAAGATATCCCCTGCTCCTGGGTAGGAAGAATCAACATAGTGAAAATGGCCATACTACCAAAACTGCTATATACATTCAATGCAATGCCAATTGAAATTCCAACACTATATTTCACAGAACTAGAAAAAAGAATCCAAAAATTCATTTGGAACCACAAGAGACCTAGAATAGCAAAAGCCATTATAGGCAACAGTCACATGGCACCAGGTGTAACAATTCCCAATTTGAAACTATACTACAAAGCCACTGTGATAAAAACAGCATGGTACTGGCAAAGAAATAGGCCTGAGGATCAGTGGAACAGACTGGAAGACACAAAAACAAATGCAGATGTACTCAGCTACCTCATCTTTGACAAAGGAGCTGACCATCCTCAGTGGAGGAAAGATAGCCTCTTTAATAAATGGTTTTGGAAAAACTGGCTGTCAACCTGCCACAGATTAAAATTAGACCCTTATCTTTCGCCATGCACTAAATTAAAATCCAAATGGATTAAAGATCTAAATATTAAAACAGAAACATTAAACTTGCTGGAAGGTAAGTTAGGCAGAACTCTGGAAGACATTGGTATAGGAAAAGACTTTATGAACAAATCCTCAGTAGCACAGGAACTAGCAGATAGAATCAACAACTGGGATCTCATCTTACTAAAAAGCTTCTGTACTTCAAAAGAAACCATCAGCAGAACTAAGAGACAATCTACAATGTGGGAAAAAATTTTTACTAGCTGTTCCTCAGACAAAGGACTATTATCAAGGATATATAAAGAACTCAAAACAATCTGCCCCCTCAAATATAAAGACCCGATTCAAAAATGGGCATCTGAAATGATCAGACATTTCTCAGACAAAGAAGTAAAAGCAGCAAGTAAATATATGAAAAAATGTTCCACATCACTGATCATGCGAGAGATGCAGATGAAAATAACACTGAGATTCCACCTCACCCCACAAAGAATGGCTGCTATCAAGAAATCACACAATAACAAATGTGGGGAGAAAGGAACCCTTCTCCATTGTTGGTGAGAGTGCAGACTGGTACAACCACTATGGAAATCAATATGGAGATACCTCAAAGAGCTTGGACTGGAAGTTCCATTTGACCCTGCCAAACCTCTGCTGGGTATCTTTCCAAGAGAACTAAAAGAATCATGTCACAGAGAAGTATGCGCACCCATGTTTATAGCGGCACAGTTTGTAATAGCTAAATCTTGGAAACAGCCCATTTGCCCATCCATTGGAAACCGGATAAAGAAGATGTGGTTTTTCTATAAAATGGAATATTACTCAGCCATAAAGAATGAGAAAATAGATTCATTCATAGGAAAATGGATACATATTTAAGATATACTCCTAAGTGAAATAAATAAGGCACACGAGTAAATACCGAATAATTTCTCTGGTGTGAATAATCTGCGCAAATACAGAAGATCCTAATAAGATTACTGACAGTGAGAAATGAGAAGAAAGGAGCTAAAGGTGTAGGGAAGGTGGGATGGGTAGGGGAAGGGTAGTAAGGGTAAAGAAAAAAGTGTGAGAGAATGAAAAGATGAAAATAAAGTGTTTGTAGATGGGGAGAGGAGGAGGGGGTGAAGGGAGGGCAGAGGTAAGGGGAAAAAATGAGAATCAAGACTTGTCATGTAGAGGTACAAGATCCCAACAATGAATGTAGCTGTAGTGTATCCCTAAAATGTACCAATAAACTCAATTAAAGCTGAAACAAAATTTAAGAGTTGGGGCTGGGGATTTAGCTCAGTGGTTCTGCCACCTACTTCAAAAGCAGAAGGTTCCAAGTTTGATCAAAATTTAAGATTTGAAGATAAAACATTTTCCCAACACAGATGGAAGGAAAAATATATATGAGAATATGAAAATATAAGAAATTTATAAAAGAATTTAGAAAACAGTTCCATGTACTACAGCCTAAAAAATTTGGTAATAAACTTACCCAAGGAGGCAAAACACTTGTGTAGCAAAAACTGCAAAGTAAGTATTAAAAGAGGATGTAAATAAATGCAAAGACATGAACTGAGTGTGATGGCACACACCTGTAATCCCAGCACTCTGGGAGGCTGAGGCAGGAGGACTGCAAGTTTGAGCCTAGCCTGTGAGACCCTGTCTCAAAATAAAAAATAACAGAAGGACTAGAGATACAGTTCAGTGCTCATGGAATGAAGGTCTCAATATTGTTAACATCTGTGTTACTCAAAGCAATCTACTGATTCAATGTAACCCCTACTCAAATCCCGAGGATATTTTCTGTAGCAATAGAATATAATTCATCCTAAAATTTATGTGGAGTCTTAAGGGACCCTGAAAACAATTTTGAAAAAGAACAAAGTTAGAGGACTCACATTTCCTGATTTCCATAGAACAAAGTTACAGTAATCAAAACAGTGTCACTAATACAAAGGCAGAAAGACTAATGGAACAGAGACCAGAAATAAGCTCGTGCCCATATGGTCAAGTCTCAGTGAGGAAATCACAATCTCTTCAGCAAAAGGTGATGGGAAAACTGGATGCCCACATGTAAGAAGAATGAAGTTTGGTTTTTACCTTATTCCAAATACAAAAACTAACTCAAAATGGGTTAAAGATCTAAATGTAAGACTTGAAACTATAATACTCCTATAGGAAAACAGGAAAACCATAAGCAACCAAAACAAAAACAGAGGAAACTACATAGATCCTAAACTTTAGTGCATAAAAGAACACAACCAATAGAATAGAAAGCAACCTACTAAAATGGGGGAATTTGATAAGAGGTTAATATCTAGAATATATAAAGAACATCTACCAGTTAACAACAAAAAAATCAAACAGCTGGATTAAAAACAGGCAAAAGGTTTTAATAGGTATTTATTTTTTTTAATCTTATTGAGTTTATTGGTACTTTTTAAGTATACAGTACAGTTCCATTCATCATTGGGATCTTGTACCCTTACATGGGCAGATCTTGATTCTCATTTTTTCCCCATACCTCTGCCCTCCATTTACCCCTCCACTCTCCCCTATTTACAAAGACTTTGTTTCCATTTTTACCTTTTCTCATATTTTTTTCTTGTCCCTTATTTCTTTTCCCCTACTCTTCCCACTTCCCCTACATTTAATAGGTATTTCTTCAAAGATGATATGCATATAACAACAAGTATATGAAAAGATGTTCAACACCACTGCTCCATCAGAAGAAGGCATATCAAAGCCACAATGGGAATGCCATCTCAGATCCATTGGGATGAAACCATAAAGCAAACAACAAGAAACCAGAGTATACTGTGGTGTGGTGGTACATGTCTGTAATCCAGGCCCTAGGCAGGGGGATTACAAGGTTGAGGCCAGCCTGGGAAATTTAGGGACTGAACAAGACCCTGCCTCAAAATAAAAAGGGTTGGGGATATACAGTGCAGAGCAAAGGATACATAGTTATAGAAATTCCGACAATCATTTGCTAACTTCAGTAAAAAATGGCTCTAATGTATTCTTATCTCATTAATGCAACATACTGTTTAGATATCACGGTAAGGACAATAACTTACTTGTACTTTTCTTCTCATTTTCAAGATGATCTAATAACTGTCGTATCTCTGCATCATATTCCACCCATTCTGGGATAATTCTGGCAGCGGCTTCTAATTTGGGTTCTTTGGTTTTGGGATTATTACACTAAAAGAATAAATAAATTCTGTTAGTGAAAAACCATGCTCCAGCAAATCAAAAGGAAATACTTGAGGATTCCACTGTATCGCTAAGAAAGAAAATACATTTTATGAAAAGCAGACCCTATTAAGTTCTTAAAGTTCCAGAAGTTTAATAATAAAAAAGAAGCAAGTGAAACGACAAATCACAACTTGTAAAAATAATTGGTTAATACCAATACCTCAATCAAAAATTATAAAATTACCAAAAGGCAGTTTAGTGGTTCATAAAAAGTGTGCCAAGCAATTCTGCACAGTGCTTTGACAAAGAATATTTGAATTCCACTTCCAGTTCGTTGAAGAGCCCGCAGAATGCTCTGCTCTACAGGCTCATGGAAAGAACGTGGGAAGTGGAAGTTCGGCTCTTAGGGTTCCAGCTCCACACTCACTAACAGTAAAACTTGCACATAGTACTGGTGGGGGGCAAGGTTTTCTTTTTCCAAAAAAGGAATTAACACAATCTGCAATATTTAGTTTCTTTAAACTACTTGGCCTCACTACAGAGTTTGGGAAGTTAAATGCTGAAAGGTAAACAGGACAAGTTGATAAGGATCTGATGCTGGATGTACCTGAAGGCACTGCTGACAGGATTTGCAGAGGTGGTGGATGTGAGCTGTCAGGAAAGAGGCATCAAAGATGTCCTCTGTACCTCTGGATTGAGCAGTTTAAAAATGTGGGTGCCATTTGCTGAGACAGAAAAGACAATGGGAAGAACATTACCCTCCCCAACATGCTGCCCTTCCCTTCACACAGGTTTCCCAGGTAAGCATTCTAGTAGTGGGAATTGGACCCAGGGAGAGAACGCTGAGGTACAACCTTTGCCCTTTTTAAAATTTACTTTTATATTTTTAGACCAGAGTTCAAGTTGCCTGGGCTGGCCTTGAACATGGAATCCTCCTGTTTCAGCCTCCCAAGTTGCTGGGATTAAAGGCATGCATTGCTGCGCCCAGTTTCACCAAGTTATAAAGGCAGCCTGTCCGTGATTTAGAGAGCCTTAATACAGTGTCCCGAAGCTCCTTTCCATGTAACATTTTCTTAATTGGCTTTTGTCTTACTGCTTTAGGGGAAAGCTGTTTGTTATTAGCTACAAGCCTATATTCCAAATATTTCCAGTGAATTCCACTGTGGATCCCCCCAACAATGATATATTTTTAAGCAGAATTTTCAAGATATTTTCTATAAAGATTATGAAAACTATTTTCTTTTTAGTGTCACAAATTATTAAAACAAAACGTTTTTGGTATTGCAGTGTGTGTGTGTGTTTACTGATGCTACAATCTTCCTCAGTAGTTTATAACCGGGCAGTGTGCCCCTCAAGGGAGCGTCCGTCAGTCTGGCAATTTTAGGTGTCATGATAGAGGGCTTGTGGGGTACTACTTCCATCCAGTGGTTAGAGATCTCCCACAAAGGCTGGAACAGCCTTCATGACAGAAATATCCAGGCCCAAATGGCAAGCCTGAGAAAGCTTCACTGCAATGCAGTCGAGACAACGACATGACATTCATAAAGATTTCCTTCCTACTTCAGCACCATTAATATACTCTTTTTCTAACGTTTAGACCATTTCCTTGGGATTTGTCCGCATTCCCTTAACTTTTCTCCACAGAGGCTGGCCATGAAGAACATGCTTCTTCATATGGGATGGTTTGGCAGGACGCCAGACTTTGTGCCCACCTCCTTTTCTGTATAGCACTATTTCTTGGAGGCAGCTGTTCAACCAAGAATGAAATTTCTCAGTTCCTCTTACAGGCTGGTAGGAAAACATGACCAACTCCTACCAAGAGGCCAGGTTTTAGGATTCAGGACACATTCTCCACACTCCTATTTCCCTTTCCTCCAGAGTAGCACTATCTGGGACAGGTATGATGAAACCATAATTCAAACATTTACATAATTTAAAAATTTCTAGTAGTTGCTTATAAGAATGCAAAAGGACTAGGTGGAATAGGTTTTCATACTCCACTGACATGTAATCAATGCAAAAATTAGGAATGGGGTATTTTTATAGTCTATTGTTGTGAGCTGTCAAAAATCCTGTGTTTTACACCTTATATCACATCTCAAGTCACACTAGCCACATTTTAAGTGCTCCAAAGTCTCTTGTGGCAAGGAGATGCTCTACTGGAAGGAACAGTTCCAGATGAACAGAGATGGTGACAGAAATGAAGGATGAAGAGATCAAGGTGGAAGTGGGTCCTGTGCCATGATGCACAGGGAAGCCCCCTCTTAGGTCGGCTACGCTGGTGACGTGAGGGCGCAGGGATCTGTGATTTGTTACAGGAGCTTGTACTAACTTAAGGAGAGATAATGTCCCAAAGGTAACTGTAGTACCACCACGAATCACAACCTTATGTGTTGTAACATTACCTTAACATTTTAATAGTTATGTTCAGTCATGTTCTTGATCTCTATAAAATTCTCTGCTTCCCTTTTAACAGCGTCATTTTATTTGCTTCTGGTACGTTCTATCACCTTTAACTTCATTATAACATGTTGGCATGTTACTTTTAAAAATGTATGTGTACATACATAACTGGGTAAGTGGGTCTATGTTTTATGGTCCTGCCTTATTTTGTTCAAAATTGTATAAATTTTAATATTTGATAGGTCTATTTTTCAGTGACGATCTTATAATTACTCTATAATTAAATAAGCACATTAAAACAATATGGGCAGACAAATAATTATATTATTTTGTAGCCATTAAAGACAACACAGTAATGGAATTTAAGTTCTAGACAGTTGGAAAATGAGTTTGAAATATTTTATATTTGGGAAAAATACAATGAACAGCACAGTTAAGCTACTTAATGTCAAAACTGAAGAAAATCTCTAATCAGAAAGGAAAAGAAAAACTGATGTGTAGGACATATCAAGATGACACAGCTGATCTCTGAGCATTTTTCAGGCAGGTAGATAAGATGTATCATTCAAGTCCAAGGCTTGTTCTTAGAAAGGCCTGCCTGTAAACTTAGTTTGCCACTTGGTTGGCACCTGGAAACTTAAGTTTTCAGGGCATTCACACCATCTCATATATGTGCCTCACTTTGCCGACAATGTTTTTTTTGCAAAAATTTAAGTTAAAAAACCTGCTTTTCTTCCGAGAGTTGGGAATATTGTGTATGCTGGGCAGAAAGTGCTTACATGGTGACAAGTCCCCGATAAAAACTGTGGGCCCTGAGTTTCTAATAAGCTTCCGAGGTAGGAAACTCTACACACTGTGGAATTCTTTATTTCTTGTGGAACTGTCTGTCCTGTGTGACTTCGAGAGGACACTTGAGATCTTGCATCTGACTTTGTCTTCACCCCATGTGGCTTCTCCCTTTGTTGACTTTGCATCTTTTCACTATAATAACCCACAGGCATGAGTACAAGTGTATTTTGCATCCTGTGAATCTTCCTCATCAAGCAGCAAACCTAAAGATGGTCCTAGGGAACCCCAAAACAGCCCTCAACTTGCCAATTTAAGTAAATGCAAACTTAGGTGTGTGCCATTCTTTTGTAAAATGGAAAATATTTCTGAACATTTCCACATCTGCATATATGCAAATGAGAACACACTCACCAGATCAATTGTTTTGGCTCTTTGTTTGGATTCGTCGTCACACCAAGTTTCACACCACAGCCAGTCTTGAGGAAGGGACTTAATTGCAACTTGGTAAATCATATCATTGGGGAGATCCTATAGAAAAATTTAAACATAGAGGTACGGCTATTAGAGGAAGAAACTGAAGATAATCATTTAGACTGCAAACATCATACATGAGAGAATGTACATTTCAGGTATCTCTGTATTTTTAAGTTTTAAATACGTAATTCAATCCAACATTCTTACATCTTGAATGAATTCAACACTGTAACCACCCACACATCCGAAGGTTTCAGGCCTAGAATGAGGGATGAAGGAGGGGCCCTGGAACCCACATTGTTTGCAGAGTGCAGCCTCAGTACCTCTCACCTTCCCTGACTCATGAGGGTTAACTGCTTTGCTTTGCCTGCTGTTACTAATTATGCTGGTTATCACCACACTCTCAGAGTGTGAGTGACAATGTTCAATGAGTGGCTTCACATTTCTCCATCTTCAGGGCTTTCTTTCTTTCTTTTTTTTTTTTGGTACTGGGGATCAAACTCAGGACCTTTCGCTTTCACTTGCAAGGCAGGCGGTGGCACCACTGAGCTAAATCCCCGGCCCTATGCTTAGGGCTTTCTAAGCAGACTGAGGCATGTAAATTCAAGGATGTTTGACAAATGAACCTAGGGAATCAGAGACTTCTGGAGAGATTTAGAGATATCTTTCCCAGAGATACCATGGATATTCCAAGTGTTGCAAAGCTCTTCTCCCAGATAAATTTAACTCCAGAATCAAAGAGCACGTACCCTCTCATCTAGAAGCATGCTAGGCACTTGCATTAGCTGCCCTGTATGCTCCCTAGGATTTAGTTTTACGGTTCCTCTTTCAACACTATTAAGCAACACAGAGGGAGTCCTGGAAAAAGCAATAAATCAAGAAAAGGAAATAAAAGGTATACAGAAGGAATAAAATAGGAATAAAAGTGTTGCTGTTTGCAAGTAACTGGATTGTTTATGCAGAAAATCCCAAGGACTGATGAAAAAACTGCAATTAATAAGCAATTATAGCAAGAATATAAGATACAAAGTTAACAGAAGTCCTTTTATTTGAAACTTAGCTACTTACTCCCATATCCCAGGTCAAACTTCTATAAAGTTCAACTTCATGGCCTCACTCTGACCACTCCAACTCACTCCACTACGTACTCAGAAATCAATCTTCTTTGACCTCACGGGACCTCCAACAAACTGATTCTACTAGTATTTCATTATTACTCAACTCTTGATGTCTTCACTCACAGTTATTTCCTTGAACACATTCTCAACTGTCTTTTTAAAAAGTTTTTTTGATACAGGGTCTCCCTGTGTAGTTCAGGCTGGTCTTGAACTCATGATGTAGCCCAGGCTGGCCTCAAATCCACAGCAATCCTTCTGCCTCAGCCTCCTGAGTGCTGGGATTACAATCATGCACCACCACATCCAACTTCAATAGTCTTACTCTTGTCTCACTTAGTTGTACTTTCTTAGAAAAGTCATTGTCCTGGTTAAATATAAATGTCTGCATTGGCACACATACAACTCACTGTGGCTGGTGATACACACATATCATGCAAAGTGATTTATTTCTGACCTCATAAACATGTCAGAAAGCACATGATCTTTTGTTTTCACTTACACTTTCTTACCTGATTATTTTATATACTCGTCTTATATCCAACCCTCAACCTTGTGTAACCAACATACTTCCTGTTGGTATGAATTTATCTAGTCAAGACATGCAGAAATGCAACCATACATCATAAATGATTTTGTATCTGGTTTCTCTCAGTTAGCACAATGTTTTTAAGGTTCATAAATGTTGTAAAATATAATGGCACCTGAATCCTTTTAATAGTCAAATAATATTCCAGTATATGGATATTGAACATTTAATTTACCCATTTATCATATATTTGGGTTGTTTCCATTTTCTGGTGATAATGCTGGCATAAACATTCTGGTGCAAGTTTTTGTTTATACATGTTTTTAAGTTTTCTTGCATATATACTTAGGAGGGGAATTGCTGGGTCATATGGTAACTCTACGCTGACTTCTGGAGAATATTCCAAACTTTCTACACTGGTATATATTCCAGTCAGGAAGGTACTGATAGCTCTACTTAACTGATAACTTGCTTATTCTTGTCACTATTCATTTTTTTTTTACATAGGTATGAAGTGGTATCTCACTGTAGATTTGATTTGTAGTTAGTAATGACCAACTATGCCTTTTTCATGTTTATTAGTAATCTGTACATCTTTTCTTGAAAAAAGATTATTTATATCCTTTTAGTCCTTTTTAGTTTGTATTTGTTATGGAATTTTCTAGGCTCTTACATACAATTTACAAATAATTTATCCCATTCTGTGGGTTTATTTTCTTGACCATGCCATCAGAGCCTAAAAGTTTAGTAATTTTGACATTGTTCAACTTACCCATCTTTTTCTTTTGTTGCTTCTACTTTTGATTTCAACAGTTTAGATCTAAAATTTCTTCCAAAAGCCCGTGCTCAGAGGGGGACTTTTGGGAGTGATTATTCAATGGATTAATCCACTGATGAGTTCAGAGCTAAATGGGCCATCAGGAGTGGGGCCCAGTAGGAGGGAGTAGGTCACTGGGGAGCACGCCTTTGAAGGATGTAGCTTTTGCTTTTCCTGTTTCCCTCTGTGTCCTGGTTACCCAGAGGTGAGCAGCTCTCCTCTGTCATGACGTTTCTATGTTGGAGCCAGCCAAACGCGAACTGAAACCTCTGAAATAGTGAACTCAAATGAAACTTCCCTTGAGTATCTCAGACACTCTCATCAAAATGTCTAATGACTAATAAACTGGTATGCAGAATGGAGCCATTGCTTTCACTATACCGGAGGTGTGTGGTCCAGAAGCCTTTGGAAGTGATTTGTGGAAGGAGTTTTTGGAAAATGTACAGAATACTGTAAAGCAGAGCATGATGAAAATTCTGGATTGAATGCAGCAGACAAGGCTGTGGATAGGTATGCAGAGAGTAAAAACTAAATTGAGGTTTTAGCTAGAAATGAGGACTCCAGAACTGGTCTAAAGGCTGCACGAGTTACCGTACATTAAGACAAAGAATTTGTTTGTTTTGTTCATGTCCTGAGACTTAGCTTGAGGCTGAGTTTAAAGGTGATAATCTAGTTTATCTGGGGAACAAAATTTCAATCCAGCATAACATTCAGGCTGTGGCGTGGTTGTTGGCTGCTTTTAGTGAGATTCTAGAGCAAAAAGTAGAGTGGAAAAACTGAAAAATTCTCAGTTTGGCCAGAAAAGAATTGCATCTAGAACCTGGGCCAAAAAAAGTGTAGTTGCTGAAAGGTTAGAACAATTAAAAAGAAAGTCCACGACTTTGTACTGGGACAAAAAGAAAGATACCTTGAGGGCATCTCAGGAATTGGCCAGATTCCACCTATAGGCTTAAGGGTGTAAAAGTGTAAACGTCTTTGAAAGACTGCTTTGAGAAGAGAGCCCCAAAGTACCCTGCTCACTCAGGGCTACCTAGGGAAGGGTTTTCCAAAATCCAGGTTCTCAGAAGCCTCTGTAGCCATGGTCCCAGCCTACTGCTCACACTGGTGTTAGATCTTGGCATTATTCACGTGATGCTAGTTTTGTGGCATACAGAATGCAAGAGCTGTGGGGTCATGGAGATCCCACTGAGATGTCAAAGGTGATACCAGAGATATGTACCAGGTGGACCTTGGAATCTCTGCCCTCTACACAGGTGGTGCACTTACCTTTGATGAGGCAGATTAGTGGCCAAGCAGGGTCACAAGGAGGGTGATGATACATATAGGGGTCTCACAGGGATAGCTCCAGCAGTGAGTTGTTCCTCAATTTTGGTGTATTAGTTATTTTACATTGCTCAGACCAAATACATGACATACACAAGTGAGAAGAAAGGTTGATTTTGGCTCACAGTTTCAGTGGTTTCAGTCCATGGTTGGCTGACTCTAAGGCCATGGAAGAAGGGTATGGTGGAGGAGAGCTGTCAACCTTGTGGCAGCCAGGACGTAGAGATCAAAGGAAGAGCCAGAGAAAGAGGAAGGAACCAGGGACAAGAATATATTCTTTCAGGTTATGCTCCCAGTGATCCACCTCCTCCAACTAGGCCCCATACCTCCTACTGGCGCCTTCAGCTACGAACTCATCAAAGGGTTCATCCAATTTTAGTATATGGGCTGCCAAAGCGAGCACTCAAAGGGTTGATCCACTGATGAGGTTAGTGCCCCATGGACAATCATCTTCCAACACTCTCAATTTGAGCTTTTTGGGGTACACTTCACATTTAGACCATAATACCATCTAAGAAAGCGATACCTAGTCTAAAGTTATAAAGATTCATGGCTAAGTTTTTCTGTACCCAGGATCGAACTCTGGACCTTGTGCTTGCAAGGCAGGCGCACAGCCACTGAGCTAAATCCCTGGCCCTAAGTTTTTTTAGTCAGGGTTTTATAGTTTTAGTTCTTACATTTAGTCTTTTCTGAGTTTTTGTGAGGCAGTGGTCTAACTTAATTCTTTATATATGGTTATCTTGTTTTTCTGCGTATTTAGTAAAAAAGATTCCCTATTAAATATTTTGGCATGCTTGTCAAAAATCAAATGACCATAAATGTATATGTGTGTTTATTTGGTTTCCTGATTCTAAGTTTGGCTATTTACTTATAAAGCTGATATAAACGTTCAGGTTCATTTTTTATTGTCTTACTCTTACATTTCCCTGGTAATATATGATATAGAGCACATGAAAATATATGTTCTATATACATCCTTGGTAAGGTGTCTATAAGGTCTTTGGCACATTTTTAAATTGTACTGTTGTACTGTTCAATACTTTGTGTATTCTGGATAGCAGTGTTATTTATCACATACATCTTTTGAATTTTTTTTGCAAAAAATTGTCTTCTCTTCATATCAAATTTTAAATAGAAGTTTTTTAAAATTTTAATGAGTTCCAATATATGAGTTATGTCTCTCCTCAATCATGGCTTTGGTATTGTATCTAAAAAGTCATTTGCCAGATGAAAGCTCATATGTTTTCTCCTATGTTATTTATATGGAGTTTCATAATTTTGTATTTTATATTCAGGGCCATGATCCACTTCTAATTTTTGTGAGGGATCTACATTATTTTTTCTTTTTGCATGTATAATATCCACTTGTTTGTAAGAGAAAGGAATCATTTATTCAAAAGACTGCTTTTGCTCCATTATATTGCCTCTGCTCCTCTATCAAAGATCAGCTGGCTATTTTTGTATGAGTATGTTTCTGGGCTCTTTATTTTGTACCAATGATCTATTTCTGCATTCTTTTGCTAATAATACACTGTCTTATATCTTCACAGTAAGACTTTGAATCTGGTAGTATTAGACTTCTGACTTTGTGGTTCTTCATTATTGTGTTGTCTATTTTGAGTCTTCTCTCCTTTTCTACAAAAAATTTAGAATCAGTTATGATCCATAATGTAAACAAAATTTTGTTGAAGACTTGTTCGAGAACCAAACTGTGAACAGAAGCATTCATGAACCAAAGTACTACTGTATTATGAGCCTAGCATTCAGAGGAGAGGTAAGATCCAGAGATAAAATTTATAAATTATTAGTAGAAAGACAGAAATTGAAATGAATGAAGATTGTTAACAGTTGGTACAGAATGAGAAGTGGGTCAAGGGCAAAGACTTAGAGAAGAGAAACATTTATTTGAAAGGTAGAGGAAAAGTAGCTCACCAATACAACTACTCTGGGAAAACCAGAGATCAGAGAAGAGTCATAAAATATGGTATCACTGAAGGTAAGAAAAACGTCAAGAGAAGAAAACATGCTATACTGCAAAGAGATTTTACCTGATAAAAAGGCAATTTGACTTTCATAACAACTGTTCAGTGGCTGGTAGGAATGAAAGCCAAACCATCAGAATAAAACATTAATACCCCACATATGGTGATGCAATGTTAGGAAAACCTCTCAATTTCTGGAATGCTAAAAAAATGCAGCTTTCCCTTATATGTATATAACTGTATATGTAAGACTAGGCATTACTTGTAAATAACCTATTGGTAAAATTATTAAGAAGTACAAGAAAATGTATTCATAATGTAAATCTGGCATGTTACTAGACTTACTGAGGATTCTAAGTCAGTTTTCTATTAACTGGCAGTACTGAAAAGATCCTATTTTGCATGATCATGTATGTGTGTGTATGTGTGTGTATGTATGTATATATATATATTCAGAGTTCTTCTAATTTTCAAGAGCCATTTGTATTAGTTCTTTATCAGTGCATTTTTGAGTAAGTCACAAGTATTGAAGTCAGGAGAAAGATTTTTTTGCCCCAGCACCAGGAATCGAATTCAGGACCTTCTGCTCGCAAGGCAGGCACAGTGCCACTGAGCTAAATCCCTGGCCCTTACAAGTATTGAGGTCACAAGACCTATAATTTTCCATTTCCTAGAGTTTTAAACAAAGAGTCCAAGTTTTCTACATGTTCGGTACCCTCTATTAGCTCTATTTTCTTATGCTGTACTTCTCCCATCCTAATTTTATTCCAGTTGTATCCTTGCTATTCCTCAAAAATGCAAGGCCCATTCTCACCTAGGGACCTTGCTCTAGAGAGCCCCTCTCTGTAGAATTCTCTTAGACATTTGAATGGTCAACCTTTACGCCTCCCTCTGAAAATCACTCAAATGTCATGTTTGTACAGACATATGGGCACCCTACTTACAACTGCAAATTCCAAGCTTTGTTCACCATTCTGAACCCTCTAGCATGCTTTTTTGATTTATTTTTCCTTTAAAACATTCATTACTTTTAATTTGAAGTACCAATTAGAATCAAAAGCATCATGAATTCCAGAGTTCTTGTTTCTGTTTTCTTGTCTCGGTTCTTGGGAGAGGATCGGGCACATAGAAGGTATAGAACAGGTATTTGTTAAATAATATATATGTATGGTTCTTAGGATAAGAGAAAAGAGTAGAGATTATGGGTGCAGGGTCTTTTGATACTTCTTAAATTACCTAAAATGTAACAGATGCAATAATGAAGAATTTAAGGATGTAAGAAAAAGAAAGGTGTTTGTAGAGGAGAAAATGTAAGGCAGTCTCCAGTGGAAAATGAATCAAGGGAGTTTGTCTGAAGATGATGAAGAACTAAGTATGATTAGTGATGATGGAAGACATTAAGAAAAGGAGGGTAACTAAATGAGATAGGGCACAGAGGAGAAAGAGTTTGAGAATGGAAATGTGATGTTACAACTAATATAAAAATACTGAGTGTGAATTAAAAAATTATGTGTAAGAGATATTTGCATAAAGAGTAAAAGCTTTTAAAAAGTTGAAAATAATTCTGAAGTTTATACACGGGGGTCTAAATAACCCATGCATATGTATTCAACTTTTTCTATTAACATTTTACTTACTTGATCCAGGTTTGAAAGACTGTTTGGATCTTGACTGAGAGCTTGGTACCGGCCCCTGAGCCTGTCACCTGCTGCAATTCTCCTGAATTTCTTGAAATCCACCACGTATAAAGCACTGCAAAAAAAAAAAATTTCTTTTCTTATCTTTTGTTGGTGATACTATGGATTGAACTCAGGCCTCATACATATTAGGCAAGTGCTCTACTGCTGAGCTACATCCCTAGTCCTGTAATCTTTCTGATAGCTTGTATTGTTTATACACCTTTACTGTCCCCCAGTGTATGTCTGTAGTGATGGGTTTGACTATAGATATGCTAGGGTCTAGTAATAATTAGCCCTTTCAACAATTTGCTCCCAGTGAAACAGTGTTTAACTTGAAATTTATAACAGTTGTGGTAGAACTGATCATCTTTTGGAGTAACCTGAATTTTTTCCAAGTTGTCATGAAACTCATGGGCCTACAAAAGAGTAATAGCTTTGAATGTTATCTTTCTCTTATTTGCCAAACCAAGCTTACATCTTCTGGAACAGTCAGGAGACAATACTTGAGCCATATCACTTTGATTTAAACCATGGCTCAAATATGTACTAGTATGGTAAGCCTGGGCAAATTACATTAATGTTGAATGCTTCAGTTCCTACACGTATAATTTGGAGATGATAATAGTATCATAATACTATGTCATAAGGATTTCATGAGTTAATATACACAAAAGCTTGTAAGAGTGACTGACATGTAAGCAGTACGCAACTGGTTACCATTATTGTGTAATTTCTAAAAAAAAAGTGAATCTGGTACCTTATTTATTAAATGGTGAGAGTATATACTTTCTTACCTGATATGGTATTTTCTTCCTGCAAGATGGGATGCCCAGTATCCTTTTTTCCAGAAACGATACCCATCCATTTCAGTGCGGCTATCACAAAAGGGAGTGAACCCATAGGGAGCGCCACCCAGGTCAAAATCTCGAAGTTCTTTTAGGTCATGTCTCACAATCTAAATAATTAAAACAGTGACTATAAATAACATAAGCCTTTTTATGAGAATTTCAAACCATTATTACCCAATTGTGGCGACACAGACAGCTGCATTTTCCTTACACTGCTTTCATGCAGCATCAAATTACTGGATGTATTTTTCCCTGTTGTTTTTACAGATTAAAAGAAACTTGCAATTTATATTCTTAGTCTATGTAACAGTGGTCTTATCAGTAAGAGTATTTTATATTATTTTTAAGATAGGTATTTTGGAAAAGGGTTAAATACCAGACAAGTACATAGCTCTTAGGTTCTCAGTGTGTCAATTATTGATTCAAAATCATTTTATGGTAAATATCTATTATATATTGGAAAACTATCAATTTGAATCATAAAGAAAAATCTCCAGATTACTCTAAATAGCTTTAATGACACAATATTATATATTTTGTAAACTGATTTAAACCTGCTGGGAAAATAGTGTATATGCTGAGGGAGCATAACAAAAAAAGTGTATTAGATAATGTTAAAAAATGCTTACTTTATCATCTGTATTCGCCTAATTTTTAGTTATTATAATGGTTAATTATTTATTAACTTGGAAAATAGAATCAAAGTAATATTTTACAGTTGAGCACTAAATTCTAATATAGAATCTGAAAATGTTTCTGTCCTAAGTAAATTCTAATTTATGCATTTAATTTGTAATATATATTTACCTGTAACTGTTATTGGAAATTCTGCACATATTTCAAATTTTTTTCCCATTAATGATTAGAAAAGCAATACAAGAAGGGAAGGGAAACATATTTTCAGTCATATACATGTTGAAAGCTGGGAATTCCAATTTTTTTGGTATAAATACGGGACATTCTTTTCATGTGGTATAGTGAGGAGAACATGGTTATTGGTAAACATCAAAGCATGTTATTAAAGGCAAACAATGAGGAGAGAGCTGTATGTAACTGCTAATTTTTCCAGCAGAAAGAAATCACTTTTTCTTTTCTTTTTTTGGTACCGGGGATCAAACTTTGGACCTTGCATCTGTGAGGCGGAAGTGGCACCACTGAGCTAAATCCCCAGCCCCAGAAATAGCTTAATTTTTAAAAATAAGTTTGTATTGGGCCAAGGATTTAGTTCAGTGGTGCTGTCACCTGCCTCACAAGCACAAGGTGCCAAGTGGGATCTCCGGTACTAAGAAAACAAAAGAAGTTTGTATTCATAGGAATTTAAGTAACTACTGGTCCTTTTTTTTTTTTTCAGTACCAGGGATCAAACTCAGGACTTTGAGCTTGTAATAAAGGCATGATGGCCCTATGTAACTACTCTTATGATCTTAGAAGTATGTGTTTTAATTCCCAAACTTAAAATGCTTCTACTGTAGACAGAAAAATGCCATGTGCAAGTAATAAGATGGTACCTCTTGCAGTACCTTCAATCTTACCCTTGGATTCCTGTGTGTTCGAAAAGTATTTTACTGATACATCATAATATGTATTTACACAATTACACAGTATGGCAACAAAGACAATAAACAGGAGCAACATAATTTAAATCCTTATGTTGAGATAGAAGTATAAAAAATGTTTGACTGCTACTAAAATAAGAATTCATTACCTGGTCAGCATCAACAAAAATGATTTTGTCCACTGCTAGTGGAAAAAGGACATCAAGGAAAAGAATTTTATAACCCCAAATAATCCGTTGTTTTTCAGTCTGCTGATGAAGCCAGTGGGGCCACTTATACTGAACCAATTCATACTGGAATCCATATTCCTTAGCCATGTGAGGAATTACCTCCTAAAACATACATGTAAAATCAAACAATATGAGAAAAGTTTTATATTATAGAAAAAAGTGAATACTTTTAAAAGGCAAAATATTACAGATTGTTATAAACCAACTGGAGAAATGTCTTAAATGGCACTTATATAAATTATATGCTACGGTTTGGAAGTATAACTGAAAGGCCCATGTATTAAAACCTTCGTTACCAGCTGTTATGGTTTGGGTGTAGCTGTCCCCAAAAGCCTCGTGTGGTCAAAGGCTGGATCTAGAGTGTGTGAAGCTGGAATTGATTCATGATGCAATGCTAGGCTCAAGGGCACCAGGATTAAGGGTGTGAGGGCCACCCACCCTATGGAGTCTGAATAAGATAAAGGGGTAGGGAGACTCTTTTAACTCTCTTGTTACCCCTGCAGCCTTGTGTGTGCCCTGTTTCTGCTCTGCCATGCCTGTTTGTGGTCCTTGCCTTGGAGTTGGCTAATTATGGACTGAAGCCTCTACAAGCTGTAAGCCAAATAAACCCCTTCTCCTCTAACTTTGGGTGTTGGGTATTTTGTCTCAGCAATGAAAGAAAAGTAAGTAACACATCAGTATATGGCACTACTGGGAGGTGGTGGAAGCAACAGGAAGTGGGGTCCAGTAAAAGGAAGTTAGGTCACTAGTGGTGTGTCCTTGAAGGAGATGTTGAGAGCGCAATACCCTTCCCCTCTCGCACTTCCTGGCTGAGAAGAAGTAACAGGCCTAGGCCTCCTCTCCCATGTGCTGCCACTATGATGTACAATGCTGCCACAGCTGAAAGCAACACAGTTAAATCACCATGGACTGAAACCTCCAACACTATAAGCCAAAATAAACCTTTCCTCCTTCAAGTGAACAACTAAGGTATTTTGGTACAATAATGGGAAGGTGAATAGCATACTTCATTAATGAGAAGTATGAAAATTCTGACAAAGACACACTGTACATAAAGCTGTATAATGAATGTCATTAAAGTAAGTCTTTATTGACTAAGACAAATGTTCACCTACTTTTACTACTTGTATCTGACTCAAGAAAACCTGATTCTAGAAAGAAATGCCTCTTTGGAACGGTCACACACCACACAGTTTATGAATATGTCAACATGGTGGTTAGTTAGAGGGATAAAGGGGATGTGTAATAAACACAACATGAGTTGTACATTGATAAATTATTCTCTAAAGAGTTCCATGTTTGAGATGACGAGGAAAAATACAAGGTAGTTAATGAGGTCTGAGTACTTGATGCCTGATTCACTGCTGTTTTGTACAATTAGAAGTACAGTCAATGTCACTTAATGACACAGATACATTCTAAGAAATGCATCCCTAGATGATTTTGTCAGAGTTGCTTACCTAAGCTGGGATGGCACTGCACTCTACATCTATAGGTTGTATGTTACAGCCTGTTGCTCCTAGACTACAAAGTTGCACAGCCTATTACTGTGCCGAATAATACTGTATCTAATAAAACACAATAGAAAGCATTTGTGTACTTAAACATAGAAAAATAAAGCAAAATATTGTATAAAACACCACTAATAATTCTGATTTGGTTTACTTACAGATATACTCTCCTATACATTTCCTTTAAACACCTATTTAAATAAAATTGAACAGAATTGTTTTTAAGCTACATCAAAAATATTGATGTTTTAAAATTTATTAACAATCATTTCAAAAGGCTCATTACGAAAAGAGAATGTCATATGAACTTGGAGATAAAAGTTTACTATTCAAATATTATTCATGCTATAAAAAGAATAATATACTTACTTTAAATGATGGTGAGAGATAATTTTTTAGAAACCAGAATTTCACTGGTGTTTTGGTGTTACGTAAAACAGACAGCATCATAATTCTGTATAAGAGAATATTAAACCCAAAATAAATTAACATTCATCTTTTTAAGAGGCTTTTAAATATTTAAAGGTAGGAATTAGAAGTTTTCAATTATGAATTGTAAAAAGAATCAAACTGAAGTATCTTTAAATATTTTAGCTGATCAAATATGTAATGTATAAAGATGGAGACGTATCTTAATATAGGGTAGATTGATTTTTTTTGTTTATCCTATTTTTTTGTTTTGTTTTTTGTTTTTTTGAGAGAGGGTTTCATTATGTAGTTGAGACTGACCTGAAACTCACTGTAGCCCAGGATGGTCTCGAACTCACAGCGATCCTCCTGCCTCAGCCTCCCGAGTGCTCAGATTACAGGTGTGCACTACCATGCTCAGCTTGATTTTTGTTTATTCTAGCTGGCCAAGAAACCAGTCTGAAATATTCTTGTTTACTCTGGAGTTTAATCTCAGCTATATTACTATGTAAACTTATAGCTGAAGAGCTGAATCTACACTGATAAATTCACTGGAGAGCACTGTTTTGCTCTCTTAGACCTCTCAGTAGAGAAGATACAAGTGTAAAGTTCCATTTAAAAATATCAGTGCTACAATTCAAATACTTTAGAGGCATTCTTTGTGAACTTCCTGTAACACTATTTAAAACATTCTTTTATATTCTGTAAATATGCTTTCCTTCTCCTGTTTCCCTCTTTCTATAAAACAAGATATTTAGTAGAAAAGAAGTTACATACTTTTATTATCATAAAAATTACATATTTTTCTAGCCTTAAAGAAAAGCATTCCCAATACTCATGAAATCTCGCTGTATTTAAATTATATATTTGCCTCATAATTTTAAATAGCAAGAAAAGAGCAAGGTACAGAGCAGTATACTTTTGCTCTTATATGGATAAAAAGAAGTTAAAAAAGAAAAATATATACCTTCTTGTCTACAGATACAGGGTATCTTTGGCATAACATATAAAATTATTATTACTGATTTCCTATGGGAAAAGAACTAAGTATCAAGGAAAAAAGAAGTGGGAGATTACTTTTGCATTGTATATTCTTTTATTCTTTTTGAACTCTGGGCCATGTTAATATATTGTTTTCAAAATATTAGATAAAAATATACATACCTTAGAAAGCGCTCATATAAATGGCCAGAAGCAACAGAAAAAATGTTTAGAACCTCTTTTTCCTTTTTGTCATCATCTTTATGCAACTTTCTTGTGAAACTTGGAATTAAAGTCATAAATAACAGTTTCTTAATATACACTGGCATTGATAAATAATAAAAACAAGAATGTCTTTCAATATAATTTTCTGTATGACTTTCAAAATGGATAGTTATTAATTTTAAACAATCTCTTATTCTTACAATTATGAGTTATTAGTATGAAATGTGACAATATTACTTGAAGTTTTATGAGCTTTTATTTATAACACAGGATGCAATTAAACTGTCTCCAGGTTAATGAGGTAACATCTTTGAACCTTTGTAAGCTGCAAGAGTTGTTCTGAGAACCAAGAATGAGGTACTGCCAGCCATGGTCTTAGCTAGTGTACTGAACCTTTTAAGCAGATCAACAATGAAGGAAGAAACGGTGTAGGTGTTGACTACGGCAGAAGGAGGATTCACGTTGTAACAGAGGAGGTCTGCTGAGTGCCCCTAGCAAGATTTCACATGCTCAAATAGTATATAAAACTGCCTGTGATTTAGATCTCTTCTGACCTGGTACAGTCTTCAGTCAATGGCAAGTGACAGAGATCTTTGTACTCTGGGTGACCCCATGAGGTAGAAACAGAGGTCTGCAATCCAGGCCCATCTCCTGTTTTACATCATGGTAGCTTTCTCAGGGCCAGGTGTCACTGATACAACGTTGTGGGCCCAGATTGGCCCCATCTCATTTCTGTGTATGTCTAATCTCATCTGTAAAAATGGATCACTCTTCTTTGGGGTACACATAATGTATATAATTTGTTCTGGTTTGAAATTTTCAGCTAGTTAAAAAATCTCATTTTTGGGCTGGGGATTTAGCTCAGTGGTTCCGCCACCTTCCTCTCAAGCACAAGGACCTGTGAGTTTGAACCCCGGGACCAAAAAAAAAAAAAAAAAAAAAAAAAAAATACCACTTGTATATAAAAAAGGATAT